GGTTCAGGCAAAGTAAAGGATGGACACACACTGCCACACGGTGGAGCAATAACAATGCTACCACACTTTATTGAGGCAGGGGTTGGACTTATATAGGGTCAGGATGGAAGATGCTGGAAAGGAGGGAGGAGCATGGGACTGGCAGGGGAAACAGCCAATCAGGGAAGGAAGGAGGGACTATGGAATCAACGGGAGCCAACGGGGAAAGTATCTGCAATGCAGCAGATGGGAACCAGTAGGAAAAATGGAGATATTTGTGAGGGGAAAATACATTGAAATTGGAAAAACTTGGAATAAAACTGTCCGAACAAGTTCTTTGGTAAAACCTGGTAACAATAAAACAGTCCTTTTCTGTATTAGTTGTTGGTAACAGTGTCGCATAGTATCAATCCCAAGCAGGTGCTTGGCCATTTCTGCTTCTTCCTGCACCTGCCTCAGCTCCTGTCCTCATCTTTGCAACAGTTGTTTTTCTCAGCGAGTGCCTTCCTCAGGTGTTCATCTCAGTCTCTTTATACCCTGATAATTTTCACCAGAGTTCCACCCAGAATAAACCTGCTCAGTATGGCTTCTCTCTCTCTCTCTGTTGCAAATCCAAGCGGTGGTGGTAGCTGTGCTTCTCTTCTTCGTTCCGCTCTGCTCCGCTCCCGACATGCTCCGTGCCATGCGCTACTGCTGCTCTGGGCCTGCTCTGGGCTGCTCGGCTTCGGGTCGTGCGTTGCTGCTGCACCAGGCACCACAGAGCCTGGCCAGGCTGCCACCACCTCTCCCTGCCGTGGGGGGAAGTGGCGAGGCTGGCCAGAGAACTCCTGGGCAGTTTCTCTCTCGCTCTCTGGAATTTCTTCTCAGCTCTGCTGCACCTCTGAGCCAGGGGCCCGGCTCGGCCTCAGTGCCACACCTGCTCCTGGGCCAGGGCCGGGGGGGGGGGGGGGGCGGCCCCTCTGCCAGCTTAGTGGCTCTAATTTCTTCTGCACCACAAGCCTTCTCTTCTGGCTACTTAAATATGTAATTTGCAGAGGCGTTACTACAGCTTCTCATTGGCTCAGCATGAGGAAATCCACCACCTGGAACTAAGCATCTTCAGTTCCAGGGGAGGGCTAGTAAACCCAAGACACCTGTGTGATAGTGTCCATGGTTAAGTCCACCCCTCGATCATGAGTCCATTGATATGTTGCATCTCCTCCTTGATGGCCCAAGCTGTCACAGGTCCACTGAGACAGAAATTACTCATCCTTATGTTGCCAATCCAAATCCACTTCACTGTTAGCAGCTGGAGACACCTGTTGATTAATCGGGTATTCTTCATTGACTCAACTCTCGTGTACATGAACATGATCCACCTTTACAAACAGGTTCTCCACCCAGGCAACAATATCACGCCACCATGTGCCAGCCCAGATGCATTTACCCCTTGTGCTGGTTTTAAAACTCAGTGGGAAAACCAAGCCCACTCAAACTGTCCCATTTCAATACTGGAGGAAAAAATACTAGGAGAGATTATAAAATGGGGTCACAATTTGCTGAGAAAATTGCAATAAACACAACAATAATAGTAAAAGCATTTTCCACAGCTTGTACAGCTACTTTCACTCTCTCCTGCTTTCCTACAGTACAAGGATGCATCATTAAGCAAGACATAATGTTTCTCACTTTCAGATTATTTATTATATTGGATGAGTTTTCAGCACTCTCACCTCCTCCTCTGCAAAGAGCACAAGGATGTCATTAGTCAAGTCAATGTCACAAGTCATTCTCTTCCAATCGCTTTGTTGATGCCTGCTTCCCTAGAAAGTGACCCCAGCTGCTTGGCTTCATTATCCTCTGATTCCAAACCGCTAGTCACATTATCCCACCATCAGAGCAGCCAGGTGACAATGTGCTTACCTGGATGGTGGCTGAAATCTTTCCATCTCTCCTGCAGCTCACTCAAGGGTAGGGATCAACTGGATATCTCTTGTTCTGCCTCTTCCTCCTGCTCCTGTGATAGCCTTGCTTAGCCTGCCTTGTCCTCCTTTACTAAATAAGATGCCTTTTTGTGTACAGGAGCAACTGATAATGGCACAGTGGTTCAGGTGCAGGGGCTGTAGCTGTGCTGGTCAGTTCCAGAGATTTTCCCTTACTCCCACAGGCCCTAAGCAGGGCTGAACAAGACTTGAAAGCCTGGGCCAGGCCCTAACATGGTGCGATGACTTGTGTGCCTCTGGAAGTGCAGCTGGACTCAAGCTCTTAAGGGTTTTGGCCAACCTCAATGATTCTGTGGTGTTACCTCCACTTGGGACCTCAAGCCAACAGGAGACTTGACACAGACCCACTTACTGACACTCACACACCCTTTCTGCCTCCAGAAGGCTTTGGACAAGTGGATGTACAGTTCTGCATATGCTGAACTGGCAGAAATAAGGCCCCTGTGCCAGGCTTGGTGCATTTGCATGTTGGAGTAAGAGAATTCCCAAAGCAATGCTGTAAAGACTGTCTGTGTAAATTCACACAGCAGAGAGCTGGGAAAGAATACTTCTGTTTTGGTAGCTAATACGCAAAAATAATTTTGCCAGGCAGCTGAATGAAAAATGACCAGACAATTGGCTTCATAGCTCAGCGATGGCTTTAAAAAATGTTAAGAGGTACAAATAGAGAGACACAATAGACAAAAAGTTAAAAAGAATGACCTCATGATTTTTATTAGAGGTTTTAAAAGGGTTAATGGAGTCAGAAACAGTGTGTGTCACACTTGCTGGGGGGAAATGATAAGGAAAAGAAAATTATTTCAAAATAGAAAGTGAGTACTACCAGCATTAGAAATTCATCCTTTTAACCTCTGTAATGAATACTTCGAACACTTGGGAGGGTGGGGCTAAGTTGATTTTGTGGCCTGACATTATGTTTTTAGCCATAATAGCTTTTTAGTGGTTCCAGCCTGGAATTGGAACTAGATATATCTGTCCAAGGATGAGGTGCTGTTTGGTTCCATCACTGCACACTTTCATGTCATGAATTTGTGTTTGCAGGATTCACTTCTGCACTGGGTGCACAAAGTCACCTAAGCAAAAAATCACTGTCTCTGCACTGTGCTGCTCACAGCACAAACGTGCCCCTGGAGTGAAATGCAAATGGCCAAGTATGAATTGCAGTGGTTAAAGGTTCAAAGTCTATGAATATCTAGGGCAGGGAAATTCTACTGTGCATCTTGAGAATGAAGAAACATTTGTAATTTTAAGTTTCATAATGCTGAATTAAGTTTTATTACCTATTTCTTGTGATGTTACATATTTTTCTGTAATACAAAGTATTCAGTGATATTATCACCCTTTTACTACAGCAGAATATGCAGCTGGACACTCTGAAGAGGACAAAAGCTTAATGAGGCTTTAGTATAGGCTGTAAAGACTCCTGGAGAAAGAGTCAGGCTTGGTGTGTTGTTACTTTGCTGTAGACTCAAAGAATATAGACCCATACTAAAAATGAACAACTAAATAACTAATCCTTCATAATTAGAAGAGTGGAAATGTACTGTTTGACAGCCAAACTGGTGTGGTAACACTGACTTTATTGAAAGTTAATTCTCTTTGATATTATCTTCTTTTTAATCCATATTTTAACAGATCATCAGATATTGTATATAATTGTATTGTATAATAACCCTTAATATTTAAGCAGTGCTTTCAGATTGTGAACAAACAGCAGGTTTTCTTGTAAGTGCCCCTGGCCTTGTACATTACCATCAACTGCTTCTAAAAGGGTTAAAGATCATTGTGAGCGAGGCTTTGCTGATGATTAGGACACATTAATGGAAAACAACCATTATCACCTCTGAAATGTACCTCTACATCATACTAATGCATTGTAATTAAGTTATACGAGCTGAAGATTTTCAATTTTATTATAAACATCCATTTTAGGACGCTGCTCAGCAGTTAAAAATGGATGCTTGCATATGAAAGTAATCAAAACCCATAGGCTGAATCCTGGAAATAAATTCCAAACCTGAGCCCTAGTTCCATTCCATGGTATAATCAGAAAGCTGACAGATGAGGTGCAAGGCCATGCAAGGTGGGAGGAAGAGGAGAAGGCTCCACATTATGGTATCAGAGGTGGATTTATCTCTCCTGTGGAACATGTCAGCCTCCAGCTATGACGCAACCCCAGGGCAGTGGTGTCTCTCTTATTTTTTTAAAGTCATAAATATAATAATAACAAAAAAAAAACCATACAGAAAAATAAAATTATTTTCCTAGGTGTTTATAATTACAATTAGTTTCTTTCAATAAATATTAAGGCTACTGTAAATCTTATCACCGACATCAGCCTGAAGGCTTTGACAGAGTTATTGTAGCATCAAAAGTTTAACAATCCACTGCTTGGCTCTGGGGAAAGCACTTTCCAGGCTGGAAAGATGCGTACACTGCTTTTTGTGAAGGAGAACCTTTTCTGGGCTTAGTGCAGCTGGCTGGCACAAGAAAGAGCAATGGCTACACTCTCCATTATTTAAACCATTCAAGGCTCTAATCCAGAAAGCAGAATCATTTGTTTCTTCATGGTATATAAACATATACCATGGTATATAAATCAAGAAATATGGCTTTTGTATTATTCCCTGTGCATATGAAAATTGCTTGATGCCTGATCATTTTGTAGTTCCTGTCTATGAAATTAAATCTAAAAGTAGTTGAGTTTTATTTGAATCTATGTTGTTGTTGTTATTAATATAAAGGAATCTAGTTGCTAGATGCTTAAGGTTTGTTTCTTGTTTGAGAGGTTTTTGATAATTTCTTTGTTTGTTTTTCAGGGAAGCTGCATTAATAAATGCTCCCCTAAAAAAACCCCATAATAATAAGATTGCAGCCCGGAACCATATTACTAAAGGAGTGAGATCTAGCTGATCCAGCAAGATCTAACCATAAAATCTTCATTTCTCTGCTGTTGATGGGAAGAAATGCATTTTCTTCAGCTGAAAATGTAATCAATTATTTTGAAAAAGAAACTTCTCATACACTCTGTACCAGTAAGAGCAAAGTTTCTATAGCTTGCTATAGCTGTCCTGCTAGAAGCAATAGCAAAAGTCTTTTCAAAGAGAAACAAAATAAAAATAAATCTCTATTATTATGATGTTTATCCATTCTGACAGTGACATTTTCTCTTATGTTTTGGCTGAAATCATAGTATGAAGAATTTTGTGCCAGCAAATTTCACAGTAAGAAAAAAGCAACCATATTGGAAACCAGTTGTGCTGCTTGTCAGTACCACTCATTTCCTTGGGGGTGACTTTTTATCTCTGAAGGACATGGAGAACCATGGAACACCTTTACTGGATTGTGGTTAAAGTCGTTGCCACATTTACAATAAAGGAAGTAATTTGCTGCTATGAAGGTCTTTGTGCATTGATTTTGTACAAAATAAAGTACTTCAGGAATATTCTATGTAGCTAATTGAGCATCCTGTGTTTTTTCCTTCTTTCCTTCCACCTTAGGAGTTTGATATCAGAGACCATGAAAAAACAATCTTAACAATAAACAAGACACAAACAAAATTCTAACAATAAGCAATACAATAAACCAATCCTAACAATAAAGAAGGCACAAACCCCCAATCCGAACAATAACTAAGACATTAAACCACTCCTTACAATAACCAATTAAACCAATCCTAATAATAACTAAGACATTAAACCGCTCCTAACAATAGCCTCTACATTAAACCAATCCTAGGAAACCAGACCAACCCAAAGCACATTGCCCGGCCAAGGGAAGCCCTCGCACCCCCCCAGCTCCCCCATTGCCCACGGAGGGGCTGCGGGTCCCCGAGCGCTCAGCGGGGCAGGAGGCGGCTGCAGAACTCCCGCCGGCTGCGCTCTCCCGCCCGGAGCCTGCTCTGGCAGCGGAACTGGCGCAGCTCCTCCTGGAAGGCCCCGTGCTCCATGGGCCGATAGTCCTGGGGTTCGCAGTGTGTCTGGGAAGCCACGGCCCTGTCACCGACCGCAGCGCAGCCTCCGGCCCCCACCCAGCCCGGGGCAAACCCAGCGCCCCCGGTCCCCCGGCCCTGGAGATCCTGCCCTCACGGAGGATGCTCAGAGCCAGAGCTCTCCCTCCCCGCTGGGCTGGGCAGGGCACACGGGGTTCCAGGGCGTTCCCCTCTCATGTCCCCAGGCCTCGCCCTGCTGACAGGGACACAGTGGGGGCACTCACCGGGTACTGCAGGAAGAAGTCCCGGTACCCCCCCTTCAGGACATAGAGCTCGGGGTAGTGGAGCTGGGGGTACTCGTGACAGGAACGATCCTTTTCCCTGAGGAACCGGCACCTGGGATACAGGGAAAGGCCATGGGATCATCGCGTGCTGGGATCTGGGCGTGCCTGGGGGGGCTGGCAGAGCCCAATGCCTTCCCCCTCCCCCCCTCGTTGCCCCACTCACATTTTGGGCCCCCGGTGAGCAGAGAACTCGCAGTGGAAGATGATGATCACCCTCTTGCTGGTGTCCAGGGACAGGATGGGCTGGTCCAACAGGAATTGCTCCACATCTTGCTGCAGGGGCAGGTTGACAGCACCCTGGGGAGGGACAGGAGGCACCTTTTTCCCCTTCTGCCTCCCATTTCATCTGCAGGGACATAAGGATGCTACCCCCAGTCTCCCCCCGCCACCACCATCCCCCTCCTCCTTCCAATTGAGGATCCACCCCTCCAAGTGGGCTTGGCACTGCTGAGGGGCCTACTCAACCCCTCTGGGGAATCCTAGTGACCCCTGGGGGGGCTCTTTAACCCTGTTGGGGTAGTCTCAGCACCTTCTGGGGGGACTGCTCGACCTTAAGTGGGGGTCCCAGCACCTCTGAGGTTTGGTGGATTTCAGACACCCCCTTCCTCCCAGCCCCAGGGGGCACAGAAGCCATTCTGACCTTGATGTGGCCCCCCTCGTACTCATAGGGGTACCGACAGTCCACGGTGATGCTGCTCTCAATGAAGCTGCTCCACTGCCCAGACAGTACTGCCACCAACTGCAGGGGAAGTCCGTCACCAAGGGGGAACACCCAGGGGGTGGTGAGGGAGCAGGCAAGCAGCCCCACGGGAGGGCTGGGCAGAGGCTGCTGCCCCCTTACCGTGTCAGGGGAGATGTACTTCAGGCTTGGGTCCTTCCCCTTCACCGTTGGCAGGAGGTGAGCCTGGAGGAGACCATGGGCTCTGGAGTCATATCCATCCCAGGGACACTTCCTAGAGGGTGCGACTTGTTCCCCCAGCCCAGAAGCCCCCCCAGCTGCCAGCTCTGTTCCCAGGGGAGGGGGCAGTCTGCCCAGGGCAGACGTGCCTGTGGCACTGGGGTGGCTCCAGAGGAGCAGGGATTGGGCTCTTCATCCACTCTGCGGGCTGCAGGCTGGGAAGTCACAGTCCCAAGGCCCCATGTCCCCAGGCAAGGGCCGCCAGGTCAGTTTGGGCTCTTGCACCCATGCAGGGTTCTGAGGTGGTCCCTGTTTCAGATTAAGGTGGGCAGCACCCCCAGACCTGCCCCATCCTAGTGGCCCTACCTTGGAGAAGTCCCCAATGAGCTCCTGATTGTTGCTGTCTGGCAGGCTCCTGATCTCTTCATGCTGGGCAGACCTGGAATGCTGCAGCCCCTCTTCCTGTAGGGATACAAAGCAGAGCCCCCCTGATGTGAACAGGGGCTCCAGCAGAGCTGGGGCATGGCACAGTCCTGGATCCACAGGGACAGGCTGGGATCTCCCCACAGGGCTTCCCCACTGGCTCCAGCGACACCTCCTCTTGGGGGGTGCTGGCCACCCTCCTGTGCTGCTTGGCCTTGACAGGGGTGTCCCCATCACAGGGGTGTCCCCGCTTCAGCATGGGCCTGATGGCCCTGCTGGTCCCCAAGGGCGAGCAGAAGAGCTGCTGGCACTTGCTGCACTTCCCTGGACGCTGTGAAGAGAGCCCGTGTGGTTGCCTGGGGGTCCAGCAAGCCCCCAGCACCAAGAGGGCAGGGGATGAGACCCCCACCTGGAGAACCCTGTGGGTGCAGCCTGGGGCTCTGTTCAACCCCCAAGGCTCCCACTTACCAGCTCTGCCTCCTCCTTCCTTGTCATCCTCGTGGTCAGCACGTTCTCAGTCCCCTGGGGCATGGTGGCATCACTCTGCCAGGGCGGCAGCTGAGGGAGGGACGGGGGAGAGAAGAGGAGATGGTGAAGGGAAGAAGTCCTTCTGGCTGCTTTCCAGCCCCAGGCAGGGATGGATCCCATGCCCAAGGTCCATCCATCTCCACAGGCACAGGAACTCCGTGAGGAGCTCAGGACTGGGGCCTGCCCCATGCCTGCCCAATTTGGAGACCGAGTGTCCCTGTGACCCCCTCAACCCCTTCATCTCCAACATCCACAGGTCTCCAGGGCAGGTGGGGTGGTTGGAGCAGCAGCTCCCATCTCCAGCCCCGGGATCCCCCAGCCCCAGGTCCCTCCCGAGCCCTTCAGCCCCTCTCACCAGCAGGCTGGATGTGGAGCAGGGTCTCGTGGCCAGGGAGTCCCTCCTGGCAGCCCCATGGCCGGTGGCCAGCCAGCTCTGCTGATCCAGTGTCGGCAGCTTCTTGGGGACAAAGCCCTCCTGCGGTGCGGGGGGCACAACGTTAGCGCCCCTCTGCCCCTGCCCTGCACTGCCCAGGCCTCGCTGCCCCCCTCACCTCATCCTCAGACTCCCTCCAGCCCCTCTGCACTCGGCCTCTGCGGATGTTGAACTCCCTGGAGTGGGAGATGTCCTTCAGGATCGTGCTGGATTCCAGGAGACACGGCTGTGGGACAGGGGAGGGCTGAGAGGTGCTGCACAACCCCCCCACCTCCGGCTCCATCCTGGTCCTCCCAACTTGGCCAGGGATAGAGCAGGATCCGGCCTCCCTGTGCTCAGCCCTGCAGAGCCTCCAGGACTTACCGGCAAGGAGCGGATCCTCCTCAGATGGAACTTTGTGCTGCAAGAGCAGGGAAAGAAAAGGATTCAATGAGAGCAGGTGTCCTGGACCAGTAGTGTGCCACCCCTCTGCCATGGTCCCCTGTGTCCCCCAGGTCCTCCTAGAGGGGTGAGACCTGCCCAGGGCTGTCCTAGCTCCCCAAAGGGACCCTGGGACAAAACCACATCCAGGCACTGAGCAAACACCGATGGACTGACTGGGGCTCCAGGAGGGGAATGGGGACAGCCTGCGTTTTAGGTCTGGGACAGGGACAGCCTGGCTTTTGGGACTGGCACAGGGACAGAGCCCCTTCACTTACCCTTGGAGAACTCTCCTGGAATTCAGGATTGCTTTCTCGAAGCTGTGGGCAGAGGAGAGCTGGGCTTACGGGGGGGTGGCACCCCACGTCCCAGCCCAAGCAGTCCATGTTCTCACCCCCCAGAAAGAGCTTGGAGGAGCACAGCTGGATGCTCAGGCCCCCAGCAAGGCTGAGCCTGGGCACTGCTGCCCGTGGGAGGCAGGGGAAGGCGAGGGGGCGTCCCCGGGGGGGACGTGGGGATGGGGCACTCAC